GCCGGGCCTTCCCCTGCCCGGCCTCCCTCGGCCCGGCCTCCCAATCCCGGCCTCCCAATCCCGGCCTCCCCCTGCCCGGCCCCGGAGCCCGCCCGGGCTCAACGAGGCATCAGCCAAGAGACGAAGCGGCTGTAGGTGAGGGTTTAGGTTTATTATGTTATCTACTGGAGTGACTGACATCCATGCCCTCCTTTCGCTAAGCGCTTCACCCCCTTTCCTTGACCACTGTTCTGCAACCTGCCAAGAGCTCTGGAAATACTCAGTTCCAGCCTCAAAAATCATTGTTACATTTCACTGCGACTAATAAACTGGCACCTCCCATTTAATTTAAATTTACTGGTTTTAAGAGGGAGGAGGTGGTGCATACAGTCAAAATAGTCTCTCATATTATCCGTATATTCCTAAGCAGTAAAACAAGACATTCAGACCTTTTCCAAAGGGATTTATTGCATATAGCATTTATTTATTTTTTTCTAATCGAAAAGTTTCCCTTAGGTAGTAACAGCTAGCACATTCAGAAATGTGTTTCCCAAATTACTCCACGACACCTTGAAACACAGAAAACAAGTATTAAGAAGTATTACGAGGTAGAGGAAGAGTAATTTTGTATTAAAGGGGCAAAGGAAAAGAGTCACATTTGTGAAGAATACTAATAGGCCATTTAAGCCAGTTACATCCCCTATGATTTACAGCCTGGTTTTGCCATGACTATTGCAGCTTCATTTTGTTGAACACTGCACATTACACCTGTATCACAAAGTTTACTGATAGACAAGGTCTTAACTCTTCTATCTACCCATAGAGCACCCTACTACCTGGGATTTTCTTTTAAATAAAAAGGCTTTGTTCACATCACTAAGAAACACTGCTGAACTGCAGAGCCACTGGGAAAATGAGCATCTGTCTGCCATCAATATTTTTTGTAATTACTAACCTGAAATTTCATGTAATAAATATGAACTAGCAGCTAAGCAAGCTAGAGTAAAAAGAATGGTGAGATAAGGACTTGCCTTTCTGAAAACACTCCAGTAGCTTCTCAATGTTGAAAAAAATAAATCAGGAAGTTTAAATCCAAGTAATGTGAGCAATCCAAATTGCAAAACTGAAAAAATATCTAGTTGAGCAAAGAATAGCTTTAATTTCACTCATTTCAGTTATGCTTAAAGGGAATGATGAAAAAAAATAACACAACTCTACCCTCTTCACAAATGCCCTTTTTCCCCCATTAGCTCAACACAGAGAACAAGATGTAATAAGGGAAACAATTTAGTTCAACTTACAACTCTGAAGTTAGGAAAGCTGAGAAATGTGTCTTTCAGAATATTAATATTGAAATTTTCCTTACATTTCAGAGTGAATCTCTGACTAAAACCAGGTATCCTTAAACAGTATAATTAAAGCACTTATTTCAAACATCGCTGAAACCAGTCAGTGAAACAAATCCTCTAGAGAATGACCTGCATCCACAAGGACTGAGTAAGAATTTTCACTGAAAGCTTTTTAAGACCTCTGTGTTTATAGAGTAACCCCTCTGCCCTCTGTTCCTCCTATAAGATTTTTTCTGAGACTGGAATGACCTGAGAAAGTCACCTCCAAAGACAAAAGCTTTTGCTAAGAGATGCATTCAAGCCATCTTTCATAGAATAAATACTGTATAAACCCACAGGATACTCAGACAAAAATTCAACAGTGAAAGAAACACACTTTTCACCAAGAAACATTTTTGTCTCCAACAGGGTTAATTGAGAAAGTGCCTGTTCACAATGCAGTTCCACTAATTGCTGTGAACTACAGACATTTCAGCAGATGACATCAGTGAAGCTGAGGTATGACCAGGCACCACTGCCACCCTCTCCTCCCTGTAACACACTTGGAGGTAATTTCACAAAATATTCCATTACTACCAACATGTAATCTAACCTTGAAGTCTGATACAAACTGACTGTTGAAAGGTTTTAAGCTGTCATTAGAGCATTTAACTGTATGATGCAAACTTGCTGAAACATCTTAACAAATACAGGCTATAAACTGTGTGCAACTCAGAGTATAACTACTGTTTCTCAGCACAAAGTTTCTCACAGCAAGAAGTACTTGTTCACTGAAAATAAAGGGGGGGAAATATGCATTGTTATAAACAAGGTTACATACTGTTCTACACAGTTCTAAGCTTTTTGGAACAAAAAATTCTCCATTTCCACATCTCAGAACCTCAAAGACTTCAGCTGCTTCAGCACTAAATCCTTTTACATTTCTCTCCATTACTTTCCAACAGAACATGACTTTTCCAAACTACAAAGAATGTCAGGACTATTCAAGCAATCTCAAGTCTACTCACATCAGTTTTTAAATGACACTTTCTCCACAATACTTTTTCCACTTCTGAACACTTACCCTGTTGTAGCAAACAATTTACAAAACATCACATTCACACACAGAGAGGCCACTGGCCCAAACATCTCTATTTCAGTTGCACACAGTAATACCTAAAGATAATTAACAACTTATAACACATATATAAATAAACTAATGAGACCCCCAAATTAAAGATAAATTAGTGAGTCACGGCATTATCTTTTCTTTACAGGGCTCAAGTTGTATTCTAGCAACTTAAGTTTTACTTTTAGAAGGAAGTGCAATTGAAAAGTGAATTCCCTACAACACTCTATCTTACTACAAAGTGATACAGGTTTTGAAATAGCTTTAATAAAAGGATGACATGTCAAATTTCCACATCCTTAAATAATAAAATATATTAAGTTATTTTATAGATTTTTTTTTAAAGTTAAGTTTGACAAAAAGTTACCCATTTCTCTCCATTACTTTCCAACAGAACATGACTTTTCCAAACTACAAAGAATGTCAGGACTATTCAAGCAATCTCAAGTCTACTCACATCAGTTTTTAAATGACACTTTCTCCACAATACTTTTTCCACTTCTGAACACTTACCCTGTTGTAGCAAACAATTTACAAAACATCACATTCACACACAGAGAGGCCACTGGCCCAAACATCTCTATTTCAGTTGCACACAGTAATACCTAAAGATAATTAACAACTTATAACACATATATAAATAAACTAATGAGACCCCCAAATTAAAGATAAATTAGTGAGTCACGGCATTATCTTTTCTTTACAGGGCTCAAGTTGTATTCTAGCAACTTAAGTTTTACTTTTAGAAGGAAGTGCAATTGAAAAGTGAATTCCCTACAACACTCTATCTTACTACAAAGTGATACAGGTTTTGAAATAGCTTTAATAAAAGGATGACATGTCAAATTTCCACATCCTTAAATAATAAAATATATTAAGTTATTTTATAGATTTTTTTTTAAAGTTAAGTTTGACAAAAAGTTACCCATTTGTGTTCTGGATAACTCTCTTTATGTAAACATCCACCTCACCATTAAATGATGAGCTGCAAAAGGTCAGAGGGGAGTAATTCTTCAGCACACCTGCCTCTCAAGCTGCTTATCTTTAGGGACAGAAGAACTGCTGCGCTGCAATTAACTAACAAAAACTTATAGTAGAAAGATAAACCGTTAGGTAAGCACATAAACATTTCCCAAAGAACAGTACTACTGCAGCATCAAACTGTAGAATTACTCAGCCACCAGGAATGACAACAGTAACAATCCCATCATGTGGTCACACAAGTCTACACAGACTGGCTACTCCACACTGCACTATAAACATAGGAAAGAAAAGGACATAAGGAATTATAATCCTTCCACTAAGAATATTATTTTACTGAGAATTTTTTTTAATTAGGAAAAATTTGAAATTAGATTATCAGAATGCTTAGTATCTAGCTTAGGAACCACACAGAATCACTAAATACCAGGAAGGTTTACAGGTTTGCATGTTCATACACATTGCACTGTTAAAGTATCACAAGGAAGCAGGCTGGAAGTGTCCAATTTGCTGACTGGAACTCTACATTCATCTGGATCAACACCAAAATTGAAGCAGGAGATAAGACAGCCCCAAAGGAACTGTACACATTTGTGTTCTGCCTTCCAAGCAAGATCTAAATCTGATTAAATGGGTGCAAGGCAACTTAAAATCAGCATTGCCTGTTGAACAGAGAACATCCTGTGGATTCTCTCTGAACCTGTGATACTGAAGCTACTAGAACAAAAATACCTAGACCTTGAGATCAAAGTCCCTGAATTGCAGACTTAAAACTCCCAGAAACAAGGGCAATCTGC